TCTTTCTTGTTCATTTTTGTGATTGAATCATACTAAGTGACTCTTTCTTTTATATGTTGACATGGAAAGTGGCTATCACGGTTGGTACTAAACGACTCTTTCTCACACATGTTGCAATGGAATGTGTGATTCATTCTGGTGAACTGATTCATTATAAAGGACTCTCTCATATTTTGTGATGTAAAGTCATTGTAGTGAATTGTTTTGATCAGATGGTTCATGTAAATGATCATATTAACAAAAACATTCTCTAAGTGTAGCACTTCAGGTTTCATTGTAACTAGTGCGGTAGTGTAAATCCAGGGTGCATTGTATTGGATCAGGATGATAAACATATGCCACCAGTAACACACCACACTGGCCATTGGCTCGGTAAGGCAGCTAACACTAGGGGAGTGAAAAACGCTAGACAATACTCTGCGATCTGAACAGGAACTGAGTGAGTGTTAAATAGAGTGAGTAATGGCTCACAGGTGAGCGTGTAATTAGTGAAGGCTGTGTGATCAGTGAATTCAGCTGTGTAAGTGCAATGGATGATGGGAACTGTAGTCTGGAGTGACATGTAACAGTCTGTGTAGTGTGAGAGTCAATGTAATGGTAGAGTGACCTCTACTGGTAATCAGCCGGAAGGCCACGGACTGGATTCGTGACAATTCTAGTGAATAGGTTCATACTAAACTCTCACATATTTACCACGGAAAGACTGATTTATTTTGCTTAATCAGTTCAGACTAAATTACTCTTTCACATAAATGTATATCGCTACTGTATGGAAAGACCAATGCATTTTAGTGAATCAGTTTATACTAAATTACTTATATGTTGTGATGGAAAATCTGATTCATGAATTGCTCTTACTAAACGACTCACTCTCTCAAACATGTTGCTATGGAAAGTAATTCTAGTGAATGAGTTCATACTAAACAACTCTTTCTTGTTCATTTTTTGTGATTGAATCATACTAAGTGACTCTTTTTCTTTTATATGTTGACATGGAAAGTGGCTATCACGGTTGGTACTAAACGACTTTTTCTCACACATGTTGCAATGGAGTGCGTGATTCATTCTGGTGAATTGATTCATTATAAAGGACTCTCTCATATTTTGTGATGTAAAGTAATTCTAGTGAATGAGTTCATACTAAACAACTCTTTCTTGTTCATTTTTTGTGATTGAATCATACTAAGTGACTCTTTTTCTTTTATATGTTGACATGGAAAGTGGCTATCACGGTTGGTACTAAACGACTTTTTCTCACACATGTTGCAATGGAGTGCGTGATTCATTCTGGTGAATTGATTCATTATAAAGGACTCTCTCATATTTTGTGATGTAAAGTAATTCTAGTGAATGAGTTCATACTAAACAACTCTTTCTTGTTCATTTTTGTGATTGAATCATACTAAGTGACTCTTTCTTTTATATGTTGACATGGAAAGTGGCTATCACGGTTGGTACTAAACGACTCTTTCTCACACATGTTGCAATGGAATGTGTGATTCATTCTGGTGAACTGATTCATTATAAAGGACTCTCTCATATTTTGTGATGTAAAGTCATTGTAGTGAATTGTTTTGATCAGATGGTTCATGTAAATGATCATATTAACAAAAACATTCTCTAAGTGTAGCACTTCAGGTTTCATTGTAACTAGTGCGGTAGTGTAAATCCAGGGTGCATTGTATTGGATCAGGATGATAAACATATGCCACCAGTAACACACCACACTGGCCATTAAATTACAATCCAATTAGCTTAGCACTTTACCTTTTGATTTTAATCTGGCCTCTAAAGCTAGACACCATCTGTGGGAGATAGAGCAGTCTCGAGGCAAGCGCTAGCGCATCAGGCATTGTCTTTGGCTCCAATAAACGCATCCAAGTCCAACAGACCGTAGCCACAAGCCTTTCAGTATGACAGTCAAGGGGTGCAGAAACCCATCCTTTCTAGTGACATCACAGAGGTCATCTCAGAGGTCACCATAACCAGCACTAAATCACAAAAGCTCTCCCCGGCAGAGTTAATACTATTATGGAAAAAATGCAGGCATGTGGAGCAGAGTTCAAGCCCATCAGAAAACAAGAGCCCCCACTGAGGAATGAAGCGAATCGACTCATTCACTCACACAGTGGTCAATTATTCAATTACTTCTCCGCTTACTGGTGTTTGACCTCTGTGTTTCCTATCGGATTTGTTAAGCAGAGGAGAAGATTAAAGTGGCGGATGGGCTTCAGAATTCTGGCTGGAAAAGGTGGTGATTGAAGCAGCTGCTGGGGTTAAAATGGAGGAGCAGTGAAGTGTGGTTATCTCTCATGACTGGCCCTGAATGCTGAAATAAAGAGAACATAACAGTCCTGCGCCAACCACATCCTTCTCTGGACTTTAATTAGATGCATGAATAAATTACCTCATATGGTTTCAAAGAGTCATCAATGGTTTTCTGTGAAAATGTAGCTCCTGAAGGGGTGGGAATGGCTGATAAAGTTGTATTTTGTGAGCTTTGAGCCCCCCTGTTTTTCTCTTTCTCTATCTGCCTTCCTCCCTGACACTCTTTTGTTCTCAGAGTTAAGCGCGGATCTATTTTATTGTGTGTTTAACTAATTAAAGTAAAAAAGGAAGTGACCTAATGAGCCTGGGGCTCCAACCTACATGAGAATGGCTATTGTGCAACAGTGAGACTCAAACGAGTTGCAAAATTCATATAGAAATATAGCCATTGAGATCAAGTTTCCTGTAAGTAGTCATTAATAGACAATTATATTCAAAGTGACTTCCAGTACAGGGACAATCCCCTGAAGCAAACTCCCAGCACTAAGTGCCTTAGGTGCACAATGGTGATGGATTGAGGTTTGGTTCCTAGGGGCCTTAAAATAACGGACACAGTAATGTATATACTATATCACAGGGGTGGCAAACTCCGGTCATGGAGAGCCGCAGCCCTGCAGAGTTCAGCTCCAACCCTAATTAAAACTCACCTGCCTGTAGCTTCCTAGTAACCGTTCAGACCTTGATTAGCTTGTTCAGGTGTGTTTGATTAGGGTTGAAGCAAAACTCTGCAGGGCTGCGGCTCTCCAGGACCGACGTTCACCACCCCTGCTATATTACAATAATGGGACACAGTGCATCACATACAGCAGTTCAATGTTGAATGTGACAAAATATTTTAAAATATAAAATAAATGGGTAGCACTTTACAATAAGGTTCATTAGTTAACATGAACTAATAATGAACTGCACTTATACAGCGTTTATTAATCTTTGTTAATGTTAATTTCAACATTTACTAATACATTATTAAAATCTTGTTAACATTAGTTAATGCACTGTGAACTAACATGCACATCTGTATTTTTATTAACTAACGTTAGCGTAGATTAGTAAATACAGTAACAAATGTATTGCTCATGGTTAGTTCATGTCTAATGAACCTTATTGTAAAGTGTTACCTATAAATGTATAATATACATTTCTATTAAGTTGACACTGTATTTATGTACAGTACTGTATTTTATTTGTCAATAGAATATATTAATTTGCGATTAATCTCACATTTTTTACTGTATTTATTTATTATTTACATTTTTTTGCACTGGCATCAGCAACTGGTATGCCCATTATTTGTCATTTATTTTAACTGTCAATAAAATAGTTTGTGATTAATCTCATTTTTCATTTTTGTTTACTTTTTTTTGTACACAATCTGCTACTAGTATGCCTATTATTCATATTATTGTAATTTTTTGGTTACATTTTTCCACATAATCAGCAACTAGCATGCCCATTTTTTGTTATTCATCACACCTTGCCCTGTGTCTTTGCCTTGCATACAAATTACACAATATATATATATATATATATATATATTGTGCATAATCCACTATTGGTATGCCTATTATTCATTATTCATCATTCATCACACATTTCCCTGTGCTGTGAGTTCAGTAAATAATATGACAACCAAATTTGGCTACTTTCAGCTACCAATAAGTGCTCTTAGCTCCATTTAATTTTGTTTTCAAAATCCATTCCAGAGAATCCCATACATTTTTCTAACAAACTCACTATAGAAAAAGTCTACAGATTCTGTCTGAGCCTAATTATAGATGTTGCAGACCAACAGGCACCAGACGTCGTATTGTAGTTTTGGAAGTACAAGGCTGATTCCCAGTACACCATGTAAGGTGACCTCCATTAAAGTTACTCCGAGCAGCATTTTATTGCCAGCGCTGTTATGAATCTGAGGGGAAAATGGGCGTGAACTCGTTTTGTCTCCATCCAGATGTCTCGCTGGCGCCAAATTCCAAAAGGTTAAAGCAACTACTCATCCCGTACCACACATGGCATCACGAGAGACTACTCAAGACGACTTTAATGGCAGCAAACAAAGTTCATCCACTTTGGTATAACAAAGCAGCATATTTCTTACTGCATATTTAAGCACATCTGCAAGCTTTGTGATTTAACAGCCGTGTGGTTCTGCTCTCTCTATACTGCATCCGGCTAATCAAAATCTGTCACTGTTATAGTGCCATGAATTCATAATTCAGAATAATTTCTGCAACAGCTGCTGCACATTACCATAACTGCAGGGGGGCTCCATTTATTTAATTTTTTTAAGGTTTCATTTTTCGTATTCAGTGTTATGAAGGAGAAACGGAGGGAAGAAATGTGCCTGGCACGCATGCACCGATAAACAATTTGCAGAAATACAATTCATGTCTCCAGGGACTCTGGGATAGAGAGCTTTAATATGGAGATTCCTCTCACAGATGCATTTCAAGTAAATACAAGTTGGGATAGACATTGACGCAAGTTACTCAGCAGGAGACATGCAGAATGTGCAAGTCTTTGTGTCTGTGCAGGTGACAGGGTTGTTTTTATATGTGATGTTGTGGGCCGACCGTAAGCATATGGTTGCTCGGAAGTCTGTGTATTGTTTATATTTCTTGTTTGCAGCTGATGTCTGGGTGCCAGTAAGATCTGTGCTGTGTTTTGTGCAGGTAGAGAGACCCCAGACTGTGTTGGAGTGAGATGCACTGACTCCTGGCAAACTGCAGCACTCCCTGTCATCCTCCGCTCTCCTTCGAGGCTTTGGCCAGTCATGCGGTTGCTACGGAAAATCCTCCTCCTTTTAGGCACTTGCCTTCATATGAGCTGCAAGTATCAGAGTAATGCCTTGGACATTCCACTTGAAGGTAAGTTGAATAAATGACTTTCTGTTATATGTATTATTTCTGTACTATTTTTCTTTTCTTTCTCTGTAGTTTCTTACTGGTTTATATATTTGATCAGATTCTCAGCACTGTTTCTGTTTAGTTGTTTGCCATTTACCCAATTTGGCCTGTTTTTCATGCCCTCTGGGAGAAAAATGAGCTATGGAAGCCTTTTCCTACCTCAGATTAAAAAAATAAAAAGGAAATTGTGACTGCATTTCTTATTATTGCAACTTTATTTTTTAATTGCAACTTCATATTACACAATTGCACGTTATTTCTTACAAATCCTACTTTATATCACGCTATTGAGACTTTTCTCACAAATGTGACTTTATATTTCACAATTGAGTCGTTCTATCTCTTAACTGCAAAGTCATATCTCACAATTATGAACATTATGACTTCATATTTATATTAATTGCAAAATGTTTCACAGTTTCGACTTTCATGCATAAATGCAGAGATTTGCTCTTTTGTTGGGGACATTTAGAATGAAGTAGCTACTGCCTTCATACGATGGTATTAGATGCGGATATCATACCATGGTACTTCATAATTATCATATCCATGTTCCTTGATGGTATTTGGATAACATGGTAGTAGTATGGTACATCCTGGAATGTATTTATTTATTTTTTATCATGAAATTATATTTAAAAAATTGTGTACTTTTTGTAAACACAGTCTAATTCAAATGAGTTATTTTTCATAGACAGATACAAATTAAACACTGTTTTGTTGTTGTGGTTAATAGAGTAGAAATGTTAACCTGAATGTTCCCTCAAATCAAAGCATTTAGATGATTTTAGAGTGTTTTTTTGTGCATAGTGGACGACCTATAACATCAGAGTGAGCAAACCACTTTACGTTTGACAAATTGTAACTAAATACCATCACTCCATCATGATTTTGATAATGCATATCCAATTTTACACTCAAGCTGTATTAGCCATTAGTTTCTTTCTGTTCTGAACCACAAACAAACAAACTCTCATTGACCGGATCATTTGCCATTGCCTGATAACAACTCACTCTTTGGCCAACCACACAATCAATGATTCAATATCTAATTATGTTCTCCAACAAATATTTTGTTTACCTTTAGTCTTGTATGCATTGATCAAAACAGTTGACCTGATTGTGGAAAATCATTACAATTGAACCAAAGCCATTTCACATCACCATTTGCTGCGTGCAGGTTGCATGCTACCATTTTTCCTCTACAGTCTACTGAGCTCTTCCTCTCTGGCTATTTCTTTTTCTAGTGGAGCAGCTGCCCACAATTACAGAGTACTCACCTGCCTCTCTGATCGCCTTCCCTTTCGAAGAGAACTTTCCTATGAAGTGTGAGGCCACAGGAAACCCTGGACCGGAGTAAGCAATATACACACACAAATACGCTACTGTTCAGTAGTTTAGTGCATTTGAAAGTCTCTCCAAGGCTATGTTAATTTGATCAAAAATACAGTAAAAATAATAATATTACTGCAATTTGCGCTATTTGTTTTCTACTTTAATATATTCTAAAATGTTATTTCTGTGATGGCAAAGCTGAATTTTCAGCAGCCATGCTCCATTCTTCAGTATCACATGATCTAACACTCAAGAAGAATTGTATTATTATCATCGGTGTTGAAAACGGTTGTGCTGCTTAATATTTTGGTGCAAAACATGATTTATTTCAGGTGATTTTTTCTTTGATGAATAGAAAGTTCAAAAGAACATCATTTATATTTAAATTTCTTTACATTTTGAATTTCTTTAACAAACAGTTCTGTTTTTTCCAGCCTCAATCTTATTATAAAAATGTCATTAATTTGTTCCAAACTGATCAAATTGGATCAGATTCAATCATGAGATAATCATAATGTTATCATATGTAGCTTGTTAAAGGGGCGGACAATTTCCGGAAACTTTCCATGGGAACTTCGTCTGGGGAATTTTGGAAATATTCCAAGTTTGAAACGCATGCAAACTAAATGAAATATTTAGATTTTTGGGGGGGAATCTGTCATGCTTATTTCAGGATTTTTTTGATGAATGAAAACTTGTGAACAGTGTTTATTCAAAATATAAATCTTTTCTAACAATATAAGCATTTACTATTACTTTTTATTAATTTAACACATCCTTGATGAACAAAAGTATTAATTTATTTCAAAAAATAGAAAAGATACTGACCCCAAACATTTGAATGGTAGTGTATTGTTAAAAAGGGATTTTTATTTTAAATAAACGCTGTTTTGTTCTTTGGGAACTTCGTCTGGGGAATTTTGGAAATATTCCAAGTTTGAAACCAGGACTTTATGGAAATTTACGGGAATTTTGGGGAATTTATGGGAATTCATTGGAAATTTGGGGAAATTTATAAAACTATCATATACAAATAAATATAAACATTTTGTTTGATCATACCTGCCTCTCTGATCGCCTTCCCTTTCGAAGAGAACTTTCCTATGAAGTGTGAGGCCACAGGAAACCCTGGACCGGAGTAAGCAATATACACACACAAATACGCTACTGTTCAGTAGTTTAGTGCATTTGAAAGTCTCTCCAAGGCTATGTTAATTTGATCAAAAATACAGTAAAAATAATAATATTACTGCAATTTGCGCTATTTGTTTTCTACTTTAATATATTCTAAAATGTTATTTCTGTGATGGCAAAGCTGAATTTTCAGCAGCCATGCTCCATTCTTCAGTATCACATGATCTAACACTCAAGAAGAATTGTATTATTATCATCGGTGTTGAAAACGGTTGTGCTGCTTAATATTTTGGTGCAAAACATGATTTATTTCAGGTGATTTTTTCTTTGATGAATAGAAAGTTCAAAAGAACATCATTTATATTTAAATTTCTTTACATTTTGAATTTCTTTAACAAACAGTTCTGTTTTTTCCAGCCTCAATCTTATTATAAAAATGTCATTAATTTGTTCCAAACTGATCAAATTGGATCAGATTCAATCATGAGATAAATAAACATTTTGTTTGATCATAGGCTCACATGCATGCAAACTAAATGAAATATTTAGATTTTTGGGGGGGAATCTGTCATGCTTATTTCAGGATTTTTTTGATGAATGAAAACTTGTGAACAGTGTTTATTCAAAATATAAATCTTTTCTAACAATATAAGCATTTACTATTACTTTTTATTAATTTAACACATCCTTGATGAACAAAAGTATTAATTTATTTCAAAAAATATAAAAGATACTGACCCCAAACATTTGAATGGTAGTGTATTGTTAAAAAGGGATTTTTATTTTAAATAAACGCTGTTTTGTTCTTTATTTTGTGCGCTATATAAATGTAAGGAATTATTATTATTATTATTATTAAGTGTGGCTTCAGAGAAAATGGAGGGGAATCCCCCTCTTAGGTGACTAGAGGAGATTGTGTGTGGGGGAGGGTCATTTTTAGACTTGTTTTACTATCTCACCTAAATGTTTGTTCCAGTCTATGGTTTGTTCAGTCAGTGTATTTGTTTTTACAATGGTATAGCCTAATTTAGTTGCACAGTATATTACACACAGCACAAGCAAGTTTAAAACTTTTTTTTGTGATAATCATGTAATTTACATGAATACTTACCAAGATGGACATTTTGATATTTTGTGTGCCGGATTTAAGAAATGATCTATTCATGTTATGGAGGAAAACGCAGTGCATGCAGGGGGTGTAGCCTGCAGTAAGCAGTCTGCTTGTGTGCATGTGATTGGGCAATGTGTAGGGTAGAAATTAAACTGAAATTGCATTAAATCAGGTTGTTTTAACCAAGGTTATGCTGCAAGATTTTTTTCTCAACTACATTTAAGTCCCCAGTTCCTGCAATTTTGCAAATTTCCAGTTTATTCCCATTAAGTCCCGTATATTCCCATTAATTCCCATGGAAAGTTTCCAATCTTGAAAATTCCTGGAATTTTGCAACCCTAATCATATGGTATGTAATCATAATAAATGCATCTTCAGCTTGAAGTCGTCTTATCATTTGTCTTCTTTTACTAATTCCTTGCTTGTGCCAGTTTTGCATCGAAAACTAGACCAGAGATGGAGGGAACGACCTTCAGGAACGACCGCAAGAGCATCATCATAGTGCTTCCATGCTGGTTGATCAGCATCACCAGCTATTTTTGTGGGTGAACAGTGTGGCTGTGCTAGATCAGCACCAAACCAGCATGGAAATTCATCAGGGTAGCTAGATTATGGGTAGAACAGTTCATAATATATGAAAAAAAAAAACATCAGAAACACCCCACTGGCATTTCAAAGCACGTTTCAAAGCCTTGTCTGACTATTTGATGTCGTTTTTAAATTTGAAAACCTGAACGTGGAAATCCTCTTTGCATGCTTGTGTTGTTTTCATCATATTTCAAAGGACACATGCTGAGTGATATGTCATTTAATTACTGATCATCTCTGTTTAATAATTTTTTCAGATTCAGGTGGACAAAGAATGGTCAAGACTTTGATCCTTATCAGGACCTCAGATTGATAACATTAGATGATTCCGGAACATTCATCATTCCCAATAATGGGAATCTGACAGAATTCCAGGGCAATTATCGCTGCTTTGCAACCAACAAGTTAGGAACGGCCATGTCGGAAGAGATTGAATTCGTTGTTCCGAGTAAGTAATGTATAACTTTGTGCTGTATGCTCCGTAACAACTCTTTCGGAATGATTTAGAGAGCAGTGTCCAATAAAACAACCACTCTGCGTTTCTTCAACCAGAAAGCGTTTCTTTCCCTTTCATCACAGTGTGTATGGACTGTGAGGAGAAGGCTGATGAAAAATGAGTTTTCTCCTCTCTCTCCATCATTTTTCGATGTCACATTTCTCATTGTGTTCTGAAATACACCACATAAATCTCCCCAGATGTAACCAGAGCAAAGAGTCATCAGTTACCAAACAAGACCAGTTTTCAATCACTCAGTTGACATGTACAGTTTCAGCAGCAGAGTGATGTGATATTGGCAGATTTTTGGAGTAAATTTGGGAAATTGGAACAACTAATCTTTCCAGGAATGCCTTTAGAAGGGAAAGTACTGCCACCTAATGGTGATTTAATTTATAAAAATGGAATATAATGGTACGTATCGATTCATTTTGCTTGTTGATTTCTGCAGATGTTCCGAAGTTCCCTAAAGAGATCATCGATCCGATTGAGGTTATGGAAGGTCAGTCAGTCATTCTGGAGTGCAATCCACCTAAAGGAATCCCCCCGCTGGAAATCTACTGGATGACAATACGTAAGTTCCCGCCCACACTCTGACCACAGTGCATTCAGTGATCATCTAATCAATATTGCACAGTTAAAATGATTTTGGATGGCCTAAGGGTGAGCAAAATATAAATTTTTGGGTGAACTATTCTTTATATTGTCTATCTATTAATGCTCATTAAAGTAATCATATTATTACTCTAATGTCATTGTTACTTAGCTAAAAGTGTTATAAGCTTCATTAGATTTTTTTTTCTTTGAACATCACAGGTCTACAGCACATCGAGCTGGACGAGAGAGTATCAGTGGGTCTGAACGGGAACCTGTACTTCTCAAACGCCATCAAGTCGGACAGTCGCAGAGATTACTGCTGCTTTGCTGCCTTCCCCCGCATACGAACCATCGTCCAGAAAACCGCCATGTCTGTCATGGTCAAAAGCAGTACGTTAAAATACTCCTCTTTAAGAGTTTGATTGCATATAGCATGATCATTTCTTTACATGGCCAGCATCAATTTCAAACATGTCGGTCATGTGCATCTGATGCATCCCCCCAGTTTCTCATGTAGTCAATCTCCAAGCACTTGCTGGACTTCAGCAAATCAGCTTGGAAGATATCGATGCTTCCCGTACTTTCATAATACTTCCTGTGAAGACTTGTTTGTGTATTTCATGTCCATATTATCTATTGTTTTTGCATTTGCCACACATATTTTATTTGTCTCCATTTCTTCATCCAAGACAAGTTAATGAAGGACTCTGGTAGCGGCAGAGGTTATGGTGAGTGACATTCATTAGGGATGCTACATGGGCGTAGAGCAGCTTTTTTGTTTTTAATTAGTTTTGATTAATTATCTCATTCCATGTCATGTCATACTTGCCTACTCTTTAGCCTAGATTTGAAAATCTCAAAGGTTTTCTGTAATCAATGGGAATAATTCATAGGTACATCCATGACTCATTCTCTATACTTGTTTTTTTTTTCTGTTAAAACATTTTTCATGAGTAATTTATTAATGCAAAACAGTGTTTTTGCAGTTCTTTTTGGTGATGCTACTGGCGTAGTAACTAAAGCATTTAAATCACCACAACTGAGACAACTTGACAACTATATTATATTATATTATTTTTCATGCATATTTATATATGTCATCTTTTAACTGTTATAAAGCAAACTCTCTCTTGGAGAGGAAGCCCAGTCTACTGACGCCCACAGGAAAGGAGTCACATACATATCTGATGAAAGGCGAAGATCTTCAGTTGGAGTGTATTGCAGAGGGCTTGTAAGTGTCATTGTCTAATTCATTTTATTAATTCAGTTAATTTATTAATCTAATTACGAGCTTGGCATTCGTTTCAGTTATACCACTTGAAATGCTTTTGAAATCTAGTAGGAATGTTTATAAAGGTTATTTTGTAAAAAAAAAAAAAAAAATGCAATCAAGAGCATTTAGATGGATGCATCAAAATACTTATTATATAAATGATTGAATACTTCATGTCTGTTTGAACACAAAACACTATTATTAGACTTTAAAATGTTTTGATTGTTTCTGTCTTTCAGCCCCACACCAAAGGTGGAGTGGGCTAAAATAGGCTACCACGAGCTTCCAGAAAGAGCCGAGGTGGAGAGTCATGGGAAGTTGCTTACTGTAGAGATGGTGAATGAGGAGGATGAAGGGAAATATATGTGCAGAGCCAAAAATCCCCATGGAGAGGTTGTGCATTATTTTCATGTTACAGTAGAGGGTGAGTCATATTATTGATCACATTAATCTCATAATATAACCACAGTAAATGTGCCAGTGTTGCTTTATAAATGGTTTCAATATCATGTCTGTATTAAAGACACTCTTTGTGGTAAAAGAGCGCCATCTTCTGTCCAAATACAAAGTATGCATGATTAGGACAACTAGAAATAGAGTCCTAGCATAATACAGTGATAATTTTGGGTATGATAAATGATCATTTTCAGGTTATTAAGAGAACAATTATGCATGCATATATCTGATAACCTTATATTTAGTGTTTCTGTATTTTCATCACATATAGTCTCTGTATTTTTTCAATATAGACCTTAGTTAGAGTAAATGCCATATTGAATTTAACACAGAAAAAACGAGACTGTGAGGGATATATGTATCTATATTTTCAAGCAACAAGAAAGGTCAGGCCACACGACTTCCACACACAGCATCTCGACCTTTAACAACACTTTGTGTTCAAACATCAGTGACTATTAGGAAATATCTAACCACTGAATGCCACAATTGACTCGTCAGATTATGTCATGTGATTCTTCTGCATGAACAGAGCCTCCTGAATTTGAGATTGAACCTCAAAGTCAATTGGTGACAATTGGAGCTGATGTGGTGATCAAGTGTGTTGTGAAAGGAAATCCTCAACCTAGTGTTGCATGGAGGGTCAATGGCCAACCTCTGAACGGTAAACATTCCTAATTACTGAACCTTTCATTAACAATATAAAATTTGAATTATATTGATTTCAAATGATTGTGCCAACTAACTTCAAAAATGGCTTTCTAAATGCCCCGGCAATCATTGTACTGTATAATATACCAATGTTTGTTAATAAAAACTATAATTGTCACCACTTTTTTGTTTTGTTTATGTACATGGTTGTAATTGCATTTAAATAATCAATTTCCTTATGATGATAATTTTAAAGTAATAGTTTTTATAAAGATATCCTGCCATACTGTACTTTAACTAATCATTTAACCCACATTTTCAGATGTCCCAACTTGTGCCAACTAACTTCAAAAATGGCTTTCTAAATGCCCCGGCAAGCATTGTACTGTATAATATACCAATGTTTGTTAATAAAAACTATAATTGTCACCACTTTTTTGTTTTGTTTATGTACATGGTTGTAATTGCATTTAAATAATCAATTTCCTTATGATGATAATTTTAAAGTAATAGTTTTTATAAAGATATCCTGCCATACTGTACTTTAACTAATCATTTAACCCACATTTTCAGATGTCCCAACATCCAATAGGAAAGTCTTAAAAGATGGCACCATTTCCATCCACAACGCAAAGCCTGAAAACAGCGCTGTTTACCAGTGTGAGGCCACAAACAGACACGGCACCATCCTAGCCAATGCCAACATCATGATTATGAGTAAGTAAACTGTAAACTGTACACGGCTTTAACGATTCGCATTCAAATTAAATATGGTGTCTTCCTTGATTGGAATGAGCTATAATCTACTATTGTGATTGCATTCAATAATACACAGATCTGCATGTTGAAAATAAATTTCTGTTGATATGCAAAAAAAGACTTGATATTATTAATTTGATGGTGCAAAGTTAAAAATGATCAATAAAGTCTTTCCATTGTGTTCTTTTTTTCACAAAATCATGTCTGGTGATTAAAGGATAAGATAAGACTTCATCTTACAAATGGCTGTCAAGAGCCAAAAATTAAATAATTAAATAAATACAATACAATTCAATTATGAGAAAGTGTAACATGCTAGAACAAAACGTGATTTTTGGAATCGGCATCCCAAAATTAGTAAGAGACAAGTATTTAATTTTATTCAGGAAATATGCTATAAGGTGGTGTTATCGTTTGCTTGTAGAGATGTTTTGTTCCATGCTTAAATGCAGTTTATAGGACAGCAAAAAAATAAAAATAAAAATTAGGCTCAGCCTCCATCCATTTAAGAGAGGCCCCTTGCATTATTCATTTTAGAAGTGCCTACGTATGGGATATTCATGGTTTCATTCACTCTAGGCCAAAAAAAACTAATCACATAAAAACACCACGGTGTTGCTTGGCTGTACATGGTTGTAATTGCATTTAAATAATCAATTTCCTTATGATGATAATTTTAAAGTAATAGTTTTTATAAAGATATCCTGCCATACTGTACTTTAACTAATCATTTAACCCACATTTTCAGATGTCCCAACATCCAATAGGAAAGTCTTAAAAGATGGCACCATTTCCATCCACAACGCAAAGCCTGAAAACAGCGCTGTTTACCAGTGTGAGGCCACAAACAGACACGGCACCATCCTAGCCAATGCCAACATCATGATTATGAGTAAGTAAACTGTAAACTGTACACGGCTTTAACGATTCGCATTCAAATTAAATATGGTGTCTTCCTTGATTGGAATGAGCTATAATCTACTATTGTGATTGCATTCAATAATACACAGATCTGCATGTTGAAAATAAATTTCTGTTGATATGCAAAAAAAGACTTGATATTATTAATTTGATGGTGCAAAGTTAAAAATGATCAATAAAGTCTTTCCATTGTGTTCTTTTTTTCACAAAATCATGTCTGGTGATTAAAGGATAAGATAAGACTTCATCTTACAAATGGCTGTCAAGAGCCAAAAATTAAATAATTAAATAAATACAATACAATTCAATTATGAGAAAGTGTAACATGCTAGAACAAAACGTGATTTTTGGAATCGGCATCCCAAAATTAGTAAGAGACAAGTATTGAATTTTATTCAGGAAATATGCTATAAGGTGGTGTTATCGTTTGCTTGTAGAGATGTTTTGTTCCATGCTTAAATGCAGTTTATAGTACAGCAAAAAAATTAAAATAAAAATTAGGCTCAGCCTCCATCCATTTAAGAGAGGCCCCTTGCATTATTCATTTTAGAAGTGCCTACGTATGAGATATTCATGGTTTCATTCACTCTAGGCCAAAAAAAACAAATCACATAAAAACACCACGGTGTTGCTTGGCTGTGAACAAGCATCTGTTTTTTTGTTAGTGTGGACAGAGCCATAAGCTGAGGTGTGATATGGACAGTGGACGGCCCTTGGGTTTGTTCAGAGAGCGTAAGGTCCTCATGATAGTACACGGGCTTTAGGGTGGAGCTCTTCTGTCAGTTCTGATCTCCAGACACACTCTCCCTCAGGCAGCCAGACGCTTTTATGTGCGAACAATTTCGCCTTCCTCCATTCATATTCAGTTGCTAGAACCAAAGCATGTGTTGCTTTCATCTGGGAGATAAAATAAGCTGCTAAGGATCCTCACTTTAAAAAAAAATATGAAAAGGAAAAATGAAATTAAATAAAGAAGAAGCAGAAAAACATATCTCAACTCTCTCTCTCTCTCAAACCCGCTTACCTCCCCTGATAGAACAGGAAGCTGCTTTTCCAAGGACAAGGGCTTTTTTTTTACTAAACTGATAACAACGTGCATCACAAGAAAAGAGATAAAGAGACTAATGCAATCGTGTTTTGTCATGTTTAATGGTGCAATGCTGATAACTCTCTCCCCAGACATCCAGCCCCTGATCTTAACAGAAAACAATCTGCAATATATGGCAGTGGAGGGGAAAGGTGTGGTCATGCACTGTAAGGTCTTCAGCTCACCAGCATCCAGTATAACATGGTGAGTAGAGTATTTGCACAGGCCAGCAGAGGGCAGCACAGTTCTAGAGGCGTTAGTGCTGCAGTGATGGAGTGTCTTGCATGTGGTTTCGCGCTAGTGAAGCAGTTTACTCAAGGGTGGGCCCTCAGGCTGTGTTCAGCACTGTGATAATGAGGTAAACTACTCATGTGGATCTGTAAGTATGCTACTGTTAAGTTAAAGCAGTAACAGCAGAAGTGTTGACTGTGGTGGCATGTTAGAGAAAGCAAACAGCATTTTATTGAATTCATAAAATGTACACTATGGATTCAAAGTTTGGGGTTGGCAATATATTTAATGTTTGTAAAAGAGCTCTTATGCTCATTAAGGCATCAATATTTTTTTTATATTTTTACAATTAAAATAAGTTTTCTATTTGAATGTCATTTATTCCAAGCTGTATGTTCAGCAGATCTGATTTAGTGGAAACCAATTTTTTTTCAGTTCAAAAAACACTATTTATTTGAAATAGAAATCTTTAGTAATTATATAAATATCTTTACTGTCACTTTTGAACAATGTAAAGTGTCGTGTATGAGTTAAAGTATTATTTATTTATTTATTTATTTGTTTAAAATCTTATGGAGCTTAAACTTTTGAACAGTAGTATTTCTAAAAATAAAATTAATGTTTTATTCGAAAAGTTCTGTTCAGAGTGAAATCTATTAAATAATGTATGTTTTTTGTCCTGTGAGACTTATATTTTAGTACAAAAAAAAATACGTGCAAACACTGAAGATGAAAAAAAGACAACAACAATAAAAGCGAATGCAAAGGAACAGCAACATTTTGGTCACCTTTTTTAGTGCTAAATAGGCACTGTTATTTATTTATTTTAGTTATTTTTTGCAGGGCAAAAAAAAACTTTTCAGCAACTTTTTGTCTATTTGGATTATTGTGGTTTACATGATTTTAGGTGGAGTGATTTTTTTATTTTATTTTATTATTTGCATTTTTTTTGTGGTGGTGATTTCTTAGATTTCAGAAAGACATGCGAACACTATTATGCACACAGTTTATGCTGTTTTCTGAAAATGACCCAGTTGGTTTATGGTTGCATAGGAGTAAAACTGACAGTGCCAATTCAGTGGAAGGAGAAAGGTTTTCTGTTCATAAGAATGGTTCGCTGGAGATCCACAACGTGATGAAAGAGGACATGGGGGAGTATTCTTGTTTTGCTCAAAACACTGAGGGCAAAGTTGCCATTGCTGCAACACTTGAAGTCAAAGGTATGAGAAACAGATACTCTTTTGTAAATCAGTCAAGTTCAAGGGGTTTACAAGATTCAGAAAATAAATCAGTTTAGTTAATCCATATAATCCAAAATTACTTTTGTTTTCCTTGTCAGATCCCACCAGAATAGTCGATCCTCCTCATGATTTGCGGGTTTTGGTCAGAACTACTATCCAGTTTTCATGCCAGGCAGAGTTTGATCCCTCCATTGGTGATGACTTTGAGATCCTCTGGGAAAAAGATGGCATGGCCCTCAATGCCAGCGAGAACGCACGGTGAGATACAACAGGATGTCATTATTCTACAGTAGTGAATGTCAGAGCTGTCTAATCAGTGTCTATGCTGGTGTCTGTAGATATATCCTGGACGATGGAGTGCTTGAAATCATTAATGTGAGCTTTGGAGACCAGGGCTTTTATGCCTGTGTGGCCAGAACACCAGTCGACCAGGACATGGCGGTTGCACAGCTTTCAGTTGTAGGTGAGTTATGTGCTTTCGGTCTTTATTGTTTAGGAAAGTAAAGATAGACAGACGTTTTGAGGGCTGAATCGGGTTCAGCGCATGACACAGGTGGGATTTGGCTACCTGCTGTGCCACAGCTGGAATTATATATTTAATAAGACAGCACCACATAGTATTTGTACAAATAAACTAGCTGGAGACATGACCTGGCAGGTAGTGCATGAGCTCTGTCATGTTTGAAACCAGCTGGAGTCATTTCCCCGACCCAACCTCCCTCTTCTCCCTATCATTTTCTTCATTTCTCCTACTGTCTCCAAAATATCTATAAAATGGCAACAAAAACAAAAAAAGCAACTATATCATGTAATGAATCTAAATGAACTCGAGATGCTTGATCGATTGACAGCCCTAAATAAAACTTGTTGTTTTCTTAGATGTTCCTGATCCACCAGAGGATGTGATCCTTTCCGAACATAATGGCAGAAGTGTGAAACTGCAGTGGATTCCAGGAGATGACCATAACAGCTCCATTACAGGTAACAGTCTTAACACCCTTATTGTCCATATACTAGGGGTTGAACGATTTCTGATTTTTTAAAGTCGACTTTTATGGGATGAAAGTCGAGTCGAAGTCGACTAGTCGCTGATGGCGTCAGTAATGAACAAAGAAGTCTGGAGCTGTGATAAACACTTTGTGCACAGCTATGGCATATGACACAGCGCTGCCCACATGGCTATTGCTCATATAACAGCTCATTTTTAACAGTTCTTTTGTCTTTGA